ACTTCCTCATTTCCAGTTTCCTGCACTGATTAAATCACAGGCCAGGTTAAAAAAAAATTAAAATTAAACTCTTATACTTGGGTTAAAAAAATCAGTTCTACAAACAGAAGATGGGGGTGGCATGACTAGAGACAAAAATTTCTTTGAAAAACACTAGAGAGTTTTAGTGAACTGCAAACTCAGTATGAATCAACTATAGCATTTATTAAGCATTTACTCTGTGCAAGACACAGAGTCATAAGTATGATTTTGCAGCTAAGTGGATTTTTTTGGTGGGGGGAGGGAAGGGAGGCTGGTGTCTGGTCCCATGATTTAGGCAGTATGGGGAGGAATGGTGTGGAAACTATTGAAACAAATGCCAATTCATGGGCAATTTCTCCTCTTAGTTGCCTAGGGGTACAAGAGGCTAGGTGACTGCTATGTTCACCAAGTTTCTATCAGAGTTAGGACTGGAATTCAGGTCTCCTAATGACCAAACTGGTCCTCTATGTTACAATGCCTCCCAATTTGATCTTTAAAAAAAAAAATCTTTAAAAACAAACAAGTCTTAAATAGGCAGTGTGCCTGCCTTTTCCTGCTCTTCTTCTTCCCTCACCCCTATCATGATTTGGCATTGAGCTCACGAGATTTTGTCACCCATTCTTTAATTCCTCATCTTGAAATCCCGCATTACATTAAGAGTACTTTGACAAACAGTACTTTTTTCCAGATCTAGCCTTGATTATAGCCCAAAGGTTTTCAATGGGGTTTAAATCAAATTATGCTCAGACCATTGAAGCTTGTTTATCTCCATCTCTTGGACAAATTTCTTAACCTTTTATGACATGTGGCATAGTGTAGCAATTGTATCTAAATTTTAGAAAGTTCAAAATGAAATTGAACTTGATCATAATTGATATTAATCAATTCAGAACCAGGGAGGTGCCAAACCTAACTAGGAAATCTGGCACCTGGAGCAAATTCAATGTGTGTATGTGAAGGGCAGGGGGTGAGAGGAGGAGAACCTAAAGTATGACCATTTCTTCGTAGACTGGATCCAGTGGTGATGGGAATGGAGAAGGTAGAGGAAATGGGAGGCCAGCTTGGTGTAAGGGACAGAGCCCTAGATATGTAGTCAGGATAGACTCGAGTTTGAATCCCACATCAGATATTTACTAGCTGAGGGACCTTGGGCAAATCATTTTACCTTTTTCAGCCTTAGTTTCTTCATCTTTAAAATGGGGATAATAATACCATTTACCTTATAGGTCTTTTGTAAGGATCTAAATGAGATAATATATGTAAAGTATTTTGTAAACCTTAAAGCTATATGTATATATATATATATATATACACACACACATATATATTATAGGTCTTTTTATTTGAAGGGGGTAAAGGTTTTTGGGAGGAAAACTATAAGGCAGTCGACTTATTCAGAAGGAGAAAATGACCTGGGAACCAGCAAAGCTCTGAAAAGGATGGAGTACATGCTAAGGGAGAGGTAGTTGCTGATGTACAGTATCTGAGTGAGGCTCTGAAAGTGATGGGTGAGGTAGGAGAAAAATATACTTAACTCCTTTTTGGCCGTGAGAGGAGCAGCTAGATTCAGAGAAGGTATAGAAGGAAAGGGTATCCTCTAGGTTTCAGTGAAGGAGAGATCTAGGATGAAGTGGAGTCAGTTTAAAAGAGAATTGCAGAAAGCTCAGTGGAACGGGAGGGCAGAGAATTGAGATTGGAGAAGGTTAGGGCTGGCTATTAATCAATCAAGCAGCATTAAGTGCCTGCTATATGCCAGTAACTATGCTAGGTTCTGGGGATACAAGCACCAAGGATGAAACAATCCATCTCAAAAGTTACCTGGGGTCGAGTTTAAAGAATAACAGAAGTTGAGACTTGGAAGGGACCTCAGCAGCCATCTCTTTCAGCCTATGCACCAAAGGGATCCCCATTCTAGTTATTGTTGTTGTTCAGCCTTTGTTTTCAAAGAGGACCAATGACATCATTGGGTGATGTCTTGACTTGCATGTGAATTGGTTTTAAGTGAGGCAGAGTTGCACAAAGTCTCAGCCTTGAGCTCCTCCAGAGTACTGAAGTCCAGTGCCAGGACACAAGTCAAGAGGACTGGTGATGGCCCAGGATGCAGTGGATGACCTTGGCGTCTTTCCTGAGTCTGACCAAGCTCTGAGTGCTCTGCAGTACCTGCTTCAGGAACCTTCGTGGCAGTTGGAACAAATAGTTCTCATCCACCCACTCTTCTAGAGGAAGTCTTCACGTACTTGGGGTAGACATCTCCCTAATTCACCCAAGGGTTTAAGGTCCATCTGTTACCCCGGTTTAGCCTATCTGCTGATGGTTTACCAGTGTATGGCTGCTGTACATCCTACAGCTTCTTGGAGCCACAGGTGAAAGTTGAATGCCAGGTAGACAGCAAAGATTGATGAGGAGCTTTGTAAAGGGCTCGGCAGCCCTCACAGCAGAGGGGTTGGTCCTTCCTGAACACCCTATACACTCCAGTGGTGTTCCAGCCTCTGCTGGAGGGGAAGAAAACCACCATTTCTTTATGGCAACTAATTCCTTTTTGGGGAAGGGTTTTTCATCTAAGCAGAAGGAAGTTCTGAATCACAGAAATCAGAGGAGTAGGACATAGTAATTTGTTGTCAGTGGTGGGATAGAGAAGCTTTAATCAGCTCCAATGTTCTAATTAGAATGATGTGTAAAACTGTGAATGACTTAATTATTCTCAGCAATACAATGATAGAGACAATTCCAAAGAACTTGTGATGAAAAATTCTATGCACCTCCAGAGAAAGAACTGATAGAGTCTGAATGAAGATTGAAGCATACTTTTTAAACCTTCTTTCTTTTTCCCTTTCTTTTTTCTTCTTTTTTTTGATCTTCATTATCTTTTGCAACATGGCTAATATGGAAATGTTTTGCATGACTGCACATATAGGGGAGGGGAGAGAGAGAGAGGGAACTAAAAATTTATAAAAAAAGAATTAAAATTTGTTTTTACATGTAATTGAGAAAAAATAAAATAAAACTTTTTTTTAAAAAAGAATGATGTGTAAGTCTAAATGTGTGGGATCCCTTCAGTTAATTAAGGGAGACAGCATGGGGTAGATAGGTCATTTGACAAGAAACATAGCAATTGTTATGAGAGTGCTATTGTTGGGGGATCTGGGCCCTTAAAAGGAAAAGCCCTTGAACTTTCCCACACAACCCAGCCTCTGAACCCAGTTCCTGGTGGTTGCTTGAGGCATCTGGCCCATCTCAGTCCACCCAGATACTCAATAATTCTTTTAACTGTCCTTTCATTGTGACCCTACCACTTAACTCCTTTCATTGTCTGTACTAGGCCCACCCCAGGCTACTTGTCACTCCTTAATCCCATTCAAATCTTCCCACTGTCTTTTTCTGTATAAAAGTACCAATCTTACCCCCATTAAATTGAGCAGACTCATTAGGAATCTTGCCCACTTCTACTGGCAGTACAATAGCACAGATTCTTAGAATCTTTCTCTTCTATTGACATTACAATAAACTTTGTTACTCCAGCTGAAGAAGGCTTGAGTGTTTGAATTCTTTCGAGGCAGATCCTCCCCGTACCCTTGCATTTTGGAGTTCCCAGCACCCCAAACCTCAGCACTTTGTGAGGGCTCTTAAAGAGTTTACTGGGGGGGTGGGGAAGAGCAGAAGTGTAGGAGTGTTGTGATGGTGGGGATGAATTCTCAGGCCAGGCAGCATGATTCCTCCTTTCTTGAGTACTTACGGAATATTGTGCTTAGCTGTTTTTTTTTTTTTTTTTTGGTCTTTGTCTACCCAGAACCTAGCACAGTGGCCTGGCCCACTGTTGTTGTTCAATTGTTTCAATGGTCTCTGACTCTTTGTGACCCCATTTAGGGTTTTCTTAGCAAAGGTATTGGAGTAATTTGCCATTTCCTTCTACAGCTCATTTTATAGATGAGGCAAATACGGTTAAGAGACTTGCCCAGGGTCACACTTAGCTAGTAAGTGTCTGAGGTCAGATTTGAACTCAGGAAGATGAGTCTTCCTGATTCCAAGCCCAGTGCTCTATTCACTCTGCCACCTAACTGCCCAAACCTGGCTCATTAGTAGGTACTTAATAAATTCCTGTTAAATTAAGTTGATTTAGGGGCACCATATTTAGTCGACAGACTTTTATTAAGTGCCTACTATGGGCCTGGCACTGTGCTAAGCACTGGAATGATATTAATTAGCTCATGACCAAAGATGGGGCAACCAGGAGGGACAAGGGTCTGGAGACATTACCAGCAGATAATAATAGCTAGTATTTATGTAACACTTTGGTGCTATCACTATGCCCAATTATAGATGAGGAAATTGAGGCCAACAGTGGTTAAGTCTGAGCTGCCCAAGTTCCTACATTCAGTAAGTATAAAAGGCAGGATTTGAATTTGTATATAGCTGCCTCTAGGAAGGGTTGATAGATCTTTAAGGATATTAGGTTTTTTTTTTTAAGGCCAAGTTAGGTATCGGGTAGAACGAAGGACTTGGAATGAAGATCCGAGTTCGAATTCTGATTCACTCATTTATTATCTGTGTGATTCTGGGCAAAGTCAGTTAGCCTCTCTATGCCTGTTTCCTCCTCTCGCTGTGTTGTTGTGAGCGGCAAATGAGTTCACATATGAAATATGTTACAATATGTTTGCTAGCTTTAAAGAGCTATATAAACCCTGGCTATTGTTATTATTGTATTACTTTCATATCCTTTGCTCAGTGCCGTTCAGCATTCTGTCCTTGCACAGTCTTGGAGGGACCACCTCCCTCCCCTTTTCCTTCCACCCCTCCCCTTCTTCTCCTTTGCTCCTCCCCTTCTCTTCTCTCCCCTCCCCTCCTTCCCTTTCCCCTCCCCCTTCCATCTCTCCACTTCCTTGTCCCAACAAGGAGCCTTTAAGGACCGAATCCCGCCAGAGGCTGCGCACGCGCACGCTCACTAAGCGCCCCCCCATCTCTCAAGGCCTGGAATACTGAGGGCGCGGAAGGGGCGTGTCGGAAATGACGTCACATTGCTAGGAGACGGTCTCGGAGCGGCCGCTGTTTCCATCTAGTAGCAGGCAGGGCTCCGGGGTCTCCCTGCCGGCCGCGACCATGTCCATTTCGGCTCCCACTCACGGAGTTAACGACAAGGACAAGAGCCACGCGGGGTCGGAGAACACCTACATCCTGCGACCCAACTTCCAACAGAGGCGGGTACTGGGGGTAGGGCCGAGGGCCTGCGTGCGGGCCGGGAACAGATGGCTTCGGCTTAGGAGCCGGGGTGCGCTGGTAAAATTATAACAAACGGCTCTCCGGGAAGGGGAACCCTCAAAAATCATGCACGATAAATTTTATCTTAATCCTTAAGATTTCTTCTAAGTTTCGAGACAATCAACAGAGCAATAAATCGAATCCCGATAGGTGGACCGTTTGCCAATTTCTGAGGTGTAAATGCTCACCCTGAAAATTTAACAATCGGCTCTGGCCGGTGTAAACGGGCTCCGGCACTCCCTTGGTGGGGAGCCACAGAGGCAGGGGAAGAGAGGGCGGGATTCTCGGCCGAGGCTGGATGTTTGCAAGCTCGGGTCCGGTCGTGGACTCACCTGCAGGGGGCATCAGAGTACGGCTTATCCCCCCCCAACTTTGGAGGTGCTCAAGGCGCCCCGTTTTATGAGGGGTAAGCCGTGGTTGGGCAAGGGGCCGGGCCCCCTCCCCCTAATGCTCCCTCCCAGCCCCCTCCCCCTCTTTTACCCCTTCTCCCCTCTCCTCCCTCCTCTCCTCTCCCTCCCCCCTTCTCTTCCTTCTCTCCCTCCCCTCCTCCACCCCCCAACACGTCATCATTGTTAGTCTTGACCCCCTCACTCGAAGGCCTTATTACATTTGCTCATTGTGGTGAGGGGCTGATTCTGGGTTCTCCAGGGCTATTAATGAATGCGTTAATCAGCCAACATTTATTAAAATGCCTCCCGGTGTCCCAGGCACCGGGGGTTAAAAAAAAAAAAAGCAACAATCTTCACACAAGAAGTTTATATTCCCACCCTAGAGGCAAAGTACATAAGTATGAATAACAAATCTGTCATTAATAATAGCTAGTATTTATATATTATATGCAAAGCATTTATAATCATCTCATTTCATCCTTACAAACAACTCTGGAAGGTAGGTTATCTTCATTTTACGGATGGATACTGAAGCAGACAGTTTAAGTCACTTCCCTAGGGGTCACACAGCTATTAAGTATCTGAAGATGAATTTGAACTTAGGTTTTCCTGATTCCAGGGCCAGGGCTCTCTCCTCTAGCCACCTAGCTGCCTAGAGCTTTTTAGGTTCTTAATTACTTGCCTGACACTGAGCTAAGTACTGGGGATACATATGCAAGCAAGATAATGCCTGCCCTTAAAGGAAGTTCAAGCATTGGATCTTATTGTTAGAATTTGTGCTTCACTTGTACAGCCTATCATTCTCTCCCTCCCTGTGCCTCAGTATTCCTAAATTTATTCTTCACCTTCATTGTGACTTATAGTTCCTATATCCCTCATTTTCTTATGCCATTATCACTGATCTAACTTCACTTTCCTCCTTTCCTAATTTTGACTGTAGAGTTAACCAGTTCAACTCATTAACTCTTAAATCCTTTGCCTCCTTGTCCCATTACTGTTCATCCCTTGCCAGATTCCAGCCCTGGAATACTCCTATGCTGATGAACAGAATTAGAGGAAGTCCTACAGCTGTGCTGAATTTTATATATGTATATCCTTTTATTCCTCTCTAATTGATTTTCTATCTCATTCCCTGTCACTACAAAAGCTGTTCAAAACCACTGCCTCTTAACTCCTCAAGCCTACCCAAACTCTCATTTGAGGACCTTCCCCTCTTAATGAGAAAATTGAGGTCATTAGTCAGGGAGGCCCTTCTCCTTTTCTCTTCATCTAAAAACTTGACATCATCCTCCAGTCCTTAATATTGAGGCGGCCCTTCTTGCCAAAGCCAAACCCCTCTGTGTGTGTGCCCAAGTGTCCCTTAGCCTTAAAAAAAAAACCCCATCATTAGACACTACCATCCCCTCAAGCTATTGTTCTATTTCTCTCCTCCCTTTTTCAGTCAAACTCCTAGAAAAAAAGTTATCTATCCTGATATTCCTTCTTCATACTACCTAGTACAGTCTTCTTTTAAAATTCAGTTTCATTTTAGTTTTAGTTCCAAATTCTCTTCCTCCTTTCCATCCTCTCCCCCATCTATGTATGGAGAAGACAAGAAAAACAAAACCTACTACCAATATGTATAGTCATGCAAAATAAATTCCCTCATTAGCCCTGTCCAAAAAAAACGTAAAGAAAAAGAAAAAAAAGAAAATGTGCCTCAATCTATGCTGTAGTCCATCATTTCTCTCTCTGGAGGTAGCCTGTTTCGTCATGAGTCCTTTGGAATTGTGGTTGGTCATTGTGTTGATCAGTTACTAAGTCTTTCAGGGTTCATTAACTTTGTATTATTGTTATTATGTAAATTATTCTCCTAAGCTCTGCTCATTTTACTTCACATCAGTTCATAGAAGTTTTTCTGAAACTATTCTCTTCATCATTTCTTATAGCACAATAGTATTCTATCACATTCATGTACTATAGCTTGTTCAACCATTCCTCAATTAATGGCATTCCCTGTTTCTAATTCTTTTGTTGTTCAGTTGTTTCAGTCAAGTCTGACTCTTTGTGAACCCATTTAGGGTTTTCTTGGAAAAGATACTGGAGTGGTTTGTCATTTCCTTCTCCAGCTCATTTTATAGATGAGGAAACTGAGGCATAAAGGGTGAAATGACTTGCCCAGGGTCCAACAGCTAGTGAGTGTCTGAGGCTAGATTTGAACTCAGGAAGATGAGTCTTCCTGACTTCAGGCCTGGGGCTCTGTCCACTGCACCACCTTGCTGCCCCTTCCAATTCTTTGACACCACAAAAAGAGCTACTATAAATATTTTGGTACATATGAGTCCTTTTCCTCATTATTTAATATCTTTGGTTTGTAGATCTAGTATTCAAGTATAGATCATATTCCTGGGTCAAAAGGTGTATGCACAGTTTAGCAATTTTTGGAGCGTAGTTCTAAATTGCTTTTCAGAATGATTAACTAGCTGGTGGAGCTGTCATGGCCCCACCAACAGTGCTCCTAGTGCATTTTCATAGGCAGGCCCCTACCCTTGAAATGTTCTCAATCATCTTTGCCTTTTAGAATTGTTACTTATGTTCCTTCAAGACTGAGCTCAGGTGCCACCTCCTCTGAGTAGCCTTCCATGATCTCCTCAACTAAAAGCATTCTCCCCTCCTCACATTTAGCTATTCTCTCTGTATTTCTCATTTCTTCCCATCATTCTCTACTTTGTTATAATTATTTGAATATTTATCACATTCACCCCCTGGTGCAGATTTCCTGAGGGCAGAGATTGTCTCTTTGTATTACTAGTAGGTAACACAGTGTTTCGAATATAGTTGCTTACTAAATTTTAATGAGTGAATGGATTGTTTGTCCAGCTTATGAAAATTCAGCACAGGTAAGGTAGCAAAATTTCCTTTATCTCTTCCTTCTCTTAACTAGGACACAAAATTTGATGCAGAGTGATCAGTATGTGATGAAATTGAGGAACCTGGGAGCTATAATCTCATATTCCAAAGAGTTGAGAGAGACTTAATGAAAAAAGGTTCTTTTTTTTGGTAAAAAATCTTAACAAATATAAAGAAAAATACTAACAAAATAAAACCAAATAAAACCATATATATAGATATAGATATATGCTATTTAAACAAAAATTATTTAATATTTCTACTTTCTTTTCTGTTTTATGTGTAAAATTTTATTTTAACTTTTAATAAAACTTAGTGAAAAGTAGGTCTGTAACCCTTTCTCTGTACTTTGAGGCTGAATACTTAACCTGACACTAACATAGAACTGGACATCAAGACCTTTCAAACTTCAAGTGTCACCAGATTTTGGAAAAAGCAATTTCACTGTTTCCTCATTTTTTTTTGCCATTTGCACAATAGGTATACTAAATGGTATGTTCATTTATCTCGATAAATGTCTTTAAAATCTTTAGTTGACAAACACTGAAAAAGAGTTAAATACATTGAAACTGTGTAAAAGATGGAATAAAATTGGGAAGTGAAATGAGATTGAGATTATAAAGTCCTGGATCGGATTTCAGTGCATAGTGGTTGATTTTCTGTTTCATTTAGGTTCCGACCCTCTACGGTGAAAGAATGCATCCACACCATACTCAAGGAAGAATTAGCAACTGCTCAGTATGAGCCAAATGAAATGCCTGCCCTCACAAAGTTTTTATCAGAGAGCATCAAAAATAAATTAAAAGGTAGTCACAATGATTTCTCAGAATATTTCATTTCCCTCTTATCCATTCTTTTATAGCCTCGCCGTGGAATCTGATGGTTCATCAGGTACCTGCTTATTAGTATCTAATTGCCAAGAATAATTTGGATGACACTCTATAAGTAATACACATTGATGGGGTTATTACTTAGCCAGCAATGTGTGGGAAAGAATAAGGATAAGGGGGAAAAATAAGTTTAAATTCTGGGTCCCTTTGTGCCCAAGTCATGGATGTTTTCCTATAGATAAAGCCAACTATTTTTAGACATAACTATTGGATGAGAAGCCTTTACCTCATTGGGAGGCATGTGAAATGAGGGGGGGCCCTTTTCCAGAATACATATCCCATTGTAACAGAATCATTGTTTTCTTAAGACTATTTTCAAAGTAAAAAAGCTACAATTCTACCAAACAGCCAGATTTCTTGTTCTAGTATTCAAGACCATCCATAGTCTGTCTCTAACCTACCTTTCTGAATGCTGGTCCAGTTTATGTGGTCTACTCATTGAATTGTCTTGCCTTTTCTTTTGTTCATGCAATTCTTACTAGCTGGGATTCTGTCCCACAGCAAATCCTACTCATTTTTCAGTCCTACTCAATTTTTCATATTTCTGGTCCTTTGTTGTATGAAGTCTCTCTAGACCATTCCAGCCCTTACTGAAAACTAAAAACTCCTGTAGCACTTATTTTCAGTACTATTCATTTGGCAATTAATCATGTATGCCTTATGACATCTCTTATTAGATTGAATTATTATTTAGCTATAGTTTCACTTCTGTTTTGTTTTATTTTCTTTCCCCACTTATAAACTCCTCAAGGGTAGGGACTATGTTATACCTGAAGTATCAGCATGGTACCTTGTTCACCATAGGCATTAAATAAGTATTTGTTACTTGATTCCAAAGTGAGTTGCTTTGCTTTTGTTTTATTCTAAATTTGTTAGCTGTTACAAGTTCTTGATCTGATAGCATTCAGTCTTAAACTTGACTTTTCTGGGTAGATGTGTACTTGCCTGGCCTAGTCCTGACAAAGATCCATCTCTCTCACCCCTCCCCCCCCCACTTCCCCCAAATTTGTATGACTACTTTCTGTGGATTGTTTCTTGATATTGAAAGCTAGGGTACTTATTTTTACTGTTCTATATAATGTTCTTTATATAGTGGGAGTGTTTTTTTACAAAATGGTATCATTTCCCAACATAGAAAGTTGAAGCATTTGGTTCAACTATCTTCCCTAAAATAGTTTTGTTTAGAAATTTCTGGATTAAAAACTCAACAGTTCAGTTTTTTTTGGAGTATAGCTGTTCATAAGCACTGAAAAGGAGGTACACAGACAGTACTTTTCAGAAAAACATAATGTAGTTCAGGTAGAAAACTTCTCATGTTTGAAATGAATTGATTACTTGATTGTTCTAGCAAAATGTGACTTCTGGGTTATTTGGGTCATTTTATATATCCATTCCTTTCCTATTGATTTGCTTTTGTTGTCTTAACAGAACTAAACATAGTTTTAAAGAACAATTATAAGATAGATATGCTCTGTGATATGATTATCTGGGTTCTGGTTGCTTCAGTGTTTTGAGTAAATATAAATGGAACTTGATATAAAAATTTTTACTTTTTTTTATTTGACTAAGAAAAAGACTGTAATTCATAAACTGGCCTATATTTATGCTTCCTGCTCTGCTGCTTATGGTGATTTTAGGGTGAATTTCTTTTTAATAGATAATTTCACTCTATTTGCTTATAACTCTATGTTCTTCTCTTTCTTCCCTTTTAGAATTGGGATTTGACCGGTACAAGATGGTGGTACAAGTAGTGATTGGAGAACAAAGAGGTGAAGGAGTAAAGTAAGTCCTTGCCATCACTTCTTGTTTTTTGGGCTTCCCAAAAGGATTCATTAGGTTTATTGCCTTGTAACAAGATTCTTTTTATAAGAGTATATGAAAACAACCCAAGTGGAATGTTAGTGATAAAATGAAAAAATAGAAAGAAATTGTGGTTCTTACTGGTACTGACTAGTAAAGAGTTAAATGTGAATGTTGAGGGGCTCTCCCACATTTCCCACTGCCTATTGGACATTTCAAGCTGGATGTGTAGTTGGCATTTCAAACTCAATATGTCCAAGACGGAATCCACTCTTTTTACCACCCCCACCAAACCCTAACTTCCCTATTTCTCTCAAGGGTACCGTCATCCTTTCAGTCATGTAGATTTACAACATCAGAGTTGTCCTTAACTTCTGACTCTCTTTTATCTCCCAAATACTGTACAGTCAGTCTTATTGAGTCTACCTTCACAACATTTCTGTCTCTCTCCCTCTTTCTCTTATGACAAATTTGCTTTGTAGTACTCTGCCACATGATTAACTTATTTCTAAAACGAGAACCTGGGTGACATACTTCACCTGTATTTTTACTGAAAGATAATTTAAAAATTTTATCAGCTGTCATGCAACACTTAAATAAAGGAACTGGACCAAATGAATTTTGGTTTGATGTACTTGTAGGACTATGGAAGGGAATCATTTTACTGCTGCAAGTGTAACTTGCCTTAGTGAGACATATACTTACAAATTCTTTTCTAGGCCACTGGACTATGTGTAGCACAGTATAGCCAATGATGTAGAAATCTGAAGCCTTTGTGGTTTGGTAAAAAGAGCACTGAATCTAGGAGTTAGGAGGGACCTTGGTTATATTTCTGAATCTTCCATTGACTAGCTGTGTGGCCTTGAGCAAGTGGACTGACATTTATGGGCCAAATTATTTTCATATATAAAATAAGGGAAGCAAATTAGATGTTGTCTTGGTTCCTTTCCAGATGTAGGTCTTCGATCCTTTGACTAGATAACTTCTTATATCTTTTTCAGCTCTAAAGTTCTCTTATCCTGTATCCAATGTGACTAATTTAGTGTTGAAACTTGGGTATTACTGACTTTAAAAGCTTTTAACAAACATCTCAGCTGATGTTATATATAAGGATGTCTTCAAGAAAACTTATCAAAGACCCATTGCTCATATCAATTATAATTCAGATTCCTAGCATATTGATATTTCCCAATTCTTTTTTGACTGGTTAGTATGGCTGCTCGATGTTTCTGGGATGCAGACACAGACAACTACACTCATGATGTTTTTATGAATGTAAGTATATTTGGAACTTTTTTTTTCTTCCTTTAGAGATATAGAGATTTCCAATCATATCAAAAACAATGGGGGCAGCTGGGTGGCACAATGTGGGGCAGCTAGGTGGCGCAGCAGATAGAGCACTGGCTCTGGTGTCAGGAGGACTGGAGTTCAAATCCGGCCTCAGACACATAATACTTCCTAGCTGTGTGACCATGGGTAAGTCACTTAACCCCAATTACCTCACTTAAAAACAACAAAAAAACAATGAGTCTGTGAAGAATATTAAATATGAAATATTTGAATCAGTCAAGATGGTAGTGATAGTATTAGTATTTATTGTGGTTTTGCATTATCAAACTCAAATGAATGTATCAAATAAAAGGCATTAAGACCATTTTGTGTATAAGCACTGTAACCTTCATGATTGTGAACTCGAAAGTAGCATAATATTCATTCAACATGTACTACGTGCACTGCTTTGACAAATTTCTGCTGTGGGGTCCCAACCAGCTTGGTAATGATTTTTTCTCCTTTTTCCCAGATACTAGGTATACCTTAGAGCTTTTTCTTAGGCCTGAGCACTGCTATATTTCTTTCTTTCTTTCTTCCAAAACTCTTCTCTGGTGCCTTCTTATAACTTGGAGGTGGCCCTGGGTTTTCAAAGGCTCTGTGAATGAATGAAAAATATTAAGTTCTTACTAAGTGCCAAGCGCTGGGGACAAATACAAAAGTGAAATGGTTCTCGTCCTCAAAAAGCCTGTGTTCTAATAGAAGGGGACAACACATATGGGGAATGATGGACAAGGGAGGGTATTTTAGTGAAGGAAATTACAGAGATGGTGAATGAAGCCAAATTTGATATATTTTTTTCCCAAAAGCAGTGGTAGTATTGATTTGATTATGGTTCCTAGAGCAAAGAGGTGGAAAAAAGGGAGAGATATGCACACTCCAGGGTGGAGGGCAGGTTTGGATGCATCTGTTCTATGCCTGGCTGTTAAGATAGAGGGGCTATTTGAGGCTGTGCTCACTCTCTCACCAATCAGGTAGCTCATTCTCAAAGCAGGATTTCAAAGCTTAATGGATTCATCTTTGTCTCATCTACCTGTGATCCTGTAAGTACCACCCCTAGCCTTTTGCACAATTTTGTTTCTATCAAGATGAAAGAAACAATATGAAATGAGAAGTTTGCCAAGCTGCAGGGCACGAGTGCCCCTTGGCGGGAAGAGAACTGCTAGGAGAAAGTTGAAGGTACCAATACAAGTCAGCACTTTATCTGTTACTTTTTTTTTTTAAGCCAAAAACACGGTTTATTGAAGATTCACCATATTAGCCAGACTCTTAAGGAATCTGAGCATCTGTGAGTTTTGGCTAGATTGTAAGAATCTAAG